ACACACACACACACACACACACACACACACACACACACACACACACAATGCTGACATCACCACTGTGTGTGAATGCGCATATGTGAGCACACAATTTATCTATTTACTAAGGAGTTTCGTTTTCAGTCACAAGCTAAAAGTGAGAGCCGCATTTGCAGTTTGGTAATCCCACAAAGATTAAGAAAACCAAAAGATGTAAATGAGTCAGCCTCTCGTGCTCGATGATTATATAAAATGGAGAGACAAATTCATCTGTGAAAGGGAAAAGTGCGAAATTGGTTTCAAGGATTACCACGACTCTCCTGCCAAACTTAAAACAAATGTATCGTGTGCTCTTGTTCTCTCAGCATCCTGCACATCTACACTGCCAAGGGGCTCAGGGAGTGTGCCTTTGCTGCTGCAGAGAGGCTCAGGGATGTAGGCGGGCTTGATGCCAAGGAGCACAAGGGAAAGGTATGAACAAAAAAATCTTCCAAAGTCTGCAAATTGCTCTTAAACATACTTTAAAAAAATGTTTTAACGAGAAACATTAGCACAGGATGATAATTTCTCAAAATAGAGTTGTTTAATTAATGTGCTTGTGCAGACTGCTTTACTGGTGGCGGTGACGGCAAACCAGCCAGAGATTGTGCAAGATCTGCTGTCCTTTGGAACGGACATCAATGCCTGTGATGATAAAGGACAAACTGCCCTTCATCTGGCTGCCCACTATGGTTTACCTGGGGTTCTTCAGGTAAAGGCAGCACTACTAATCAATTTATTTGGCATGACTATCACAGCAACTCATACAAATGTGGGCTATACGAAGCACACCTTAATGATTCCTCTTTTGCAGGCAATTCTGTCCAGCAGGCCGGCTGTCAACCTGGAGGCCCGCAATTTTGAGGGTAACTTAATGTTATTACAATGCAAATGATTAGCCAACAGGAGAGTATTGTTAACCTAGACATACATTATAATTTGGACTATGTTTTTAGCACCAATTCCAAAGTATTTACATCATTAGAGCCTTAATTCAAACGTTACATGTGTCTTCTTCTTTGCCTCAGGTATGACTCCTCTGCACTGCGCAGCCATTTCTCACAGTGTCACCATGAAGGCGTTGTCCAACAGTGGGCTGGCAGATGTTGGTCTTCAGACCAAGGCTGTGGAGAAGCTCTCCTGTGTACAGATGCTTCTCACTGCTGGGGCGTTCCTACTCAGCCAGGTGCAATATAGCTCTCCCTTTTCTGAATGTCATGTGAGCAAGTAATAAGCATATAAGTGTCACAGTAGAGACATATTAGTAGGTGGTCGGTCAGGTATGGAGTTCAATATGTTAAACCCTGACCTTTCAGTCAGAACTATCAGTTCATATGGGAAGTGCCCAGGTTTTATCCAACCATGATGACAAACCATTACTTCCCCCCCCACCCCGCCTTCTGCCAGCCGACTGCACAGCAGCCGACT